TTTTTCTTTCTAACAATGCTCTCAACAGTTGAAGTTTTCTACCCTCTCTGCTGCTCCTTTCCCACAGCACATTGCTGAAATCCAGGACATTTCCCATATTGAATCCCAGGATACTGAATAAATCCCAGCCCCTGTTCCTTATAAATGCTTTGCCCTCACTCTCAGCCTGATTCCCTCAATGTTTTTCATTTCTCTCAAGGAATAACACCCCAATAAAACCTTTGGGTGTTTCCCTGGTGAATTTTTTCAGGGAAGGGACCTTGGCACCAGCGTGACCCCGACCCTGGAGACCCAACCCTYGGGCAGGGCTGGCTCAGAACCTTCCTGCAAGAGCAGCAGTTGGAGAAGAACCTTTCTCAGGGGATGTTGTGGCTCTGGACAGAGAAGAAATGAGAGATGAGAGGCTCTGAGGAGGGTCAAACATYGATTTGTGTCTCCACAGCTGAGGGAGGTGGTGTATTTTATAGATAAAGAGATTTTCAKGGATTTTGTGGATGTTGTTGCTCTACCAAAATCATGATCAGAGATGTAAAATGACTGAGCTGCAGCACCAGAGGATTTTGGCCATGTTTTTTGGAAATGTTGTGCTGAAAAACATTCCCAGGGATGGGAAGGGGACTAAGGGAACAGCCTGGGAYCACTGTGGGGTGGGAAAGGGAGGAAGGTAATATCCTGGACTGCAATGGGACATCTCCTGTCCAGATCGTGCTTCAGCCAAGCAGGGGTGGAGCAGATGGTCCTGGATGTCCAGCCTGGTGTTTATGGATCCCCGGGGTGGTTTGGGTTGGGATGGACCTCAAGACCATCCATTCCCACCCCTCCTGCAGTGAGCACGGACACTTCCACCATTCCAGCCTTCCTTGGCTCCCAGAAGGACACCCCGAGCTCCCTGCTGGGGCTCAGGGAGGCTTGAGCCCTGGGTGGTGACACTTTGAGCTGTCATCCCTCCTGAGAGCCTCRGTGCCCTGGGGACACTGAGCTGGCTCCTGTCTGCGCTGCACRAGATCCTCTGGAAGTTCTGGGGCCTTTTATGTCCCTCACCTCCTCCTCCTCCTCCTCTCAAACACCTCTCAATCCCCGTGCTGCTCCTCTCTGCCATCTCCCAGGGCTCTCTGGGCTGGGTTTTGTGTGTGGAAATGTAATCTTTTCAGCAGGAGATCCTCTGGCAGTTCTGGRGCCTTTTATGTCCCTCATTTCCTCTCAAACGCCTCATTCCTGTGCTGCTCCCCTCTGCTGCCTCCCAGTGCTCCCTGGGCAGGGATTTGGGTGTGGAAATTTCATCTTTTCTCCCCACCCATTACAGTATCTTAATTTTTTTTTAGACTTTGATGCTTGAAATAGTCACTCCATTTTTTTGTTTGCTTCCCATGGACCAAGTGGAGCTCATCCGTGGATTTTACACCGCTCTCASTGCTGCCTCCATTTCCTCCCCCTATCCCCTCATTTTGGCTTCCACCCTTGCYGCTCACCATCCTTTCCTGCTCCTCTTGCTGCTTCTTCAGTTGCTCCAAGAGCTGCTGGAACTCCTCCTCCTTCTGCTGCTCCTCCAGCATGGTGGCGTCGTTCTGCTCGGCGTAAGCCATGGCTACCACGGCCAGGATGAGGTTGATGAGGTAGAAGGAGCCCAGGAAGATGACCACCACGAAGAAGATCATGTAGGTCTTCCCCGCTGCCCTCAGYGTCTGTGGGAAGAGGCGGCAGGGATGTCACGGTGTCACTTTGGTGATGCCCCTGAGGAATGGCCCTGCCCCGGGACACCCTCCCGGCTGTGGGAGGAGGGAAATGTTTGGYTCYCRTCTTCTCCAAGGGTTGGTCATTGCCCATGGACCTTCCTGCAGGCTGTGGCACTGGGCTGGGACTCGTGGGGATCCAGTTTTTGGGGGAATTTGGACCCCAGAAGGTCTTTGGTGCTATTTTTGGGAGAGGTTTTTGGCCCCAGAAAGTCTTTGATTCCATTTGAGGGGGATTTTCGACTCCAGAAGGTCTTTGGGGTTATTTGGGAGGGGGATTTTGGATTTTGGACTCCAGGAGAACTTTGTTGTCATTTGAGGGGCAGATTTTGAACCCCAAGAAGCTTTCAGCACCATTTTTGGGGGCAAATTTGAATTCTGAGAGTCTTCCAGTGCCACTTCTGGAGGGGATTTTGACCCCCAAGAGGTCTTTGATGACCTTGGGGTGAATTTTGATCCCCCAGAGTTTTTAGTATATTTCTTCTCCCCCAGGGCAGAGAGAAGTCTTGGCTCCTGAGATCCCAAGTGTTGGGGCCAATATTCCATCAGGGACTCGTTTTGCCAGGCAGGGCTGGTGTCCCTCAGCCCTCACCTTCTCAGTGTCACCTTTGGGCCACCATGGTCATTTTCTGACTCTGGAGCTGGGCAAACCTCTCCAGAGGATGGGGTAGCCTTGGGTGTAGGATCCCTTTTTCCCGGGCAGCCTCTGGGGTCAGCTGGGGCTTGTGGGGTGTCCCTAGAGGATGGCTCAGTGAGGGGGCAGATGACCTGGCTCCTCCTCCTTACCCTGTCCCTCAGCTCAAGCCAGAGATGCTCTGGGTACTCCCATAAATCCCTGAATTTCGTGATGGAGCTGACAGCACCCTGGGAAATGTGCTGGGGATTTACACACAARCAGGCTGGGGAGCTGGATGGGACCATCCCCATCTCCACCCATCCTGGCCAGACCCACAAACCACAGGAAGAGGTCCCACAAGCTTCCAGTCAGTGCCTTACCCCCTCTGGGGCAGTGTGGAGACAAGAGGAGCATTCACAGAGGGAGGGAGGGGTGGTGCCTACCAGCTGGAAGAGATTCTCCCAGTAGTCCTGGGTCATGAGGCGGAACAGGGCCAGGAAGGCCCAGCTGAAGGTGTCGTAGCTGGTGTAGCCATAATTGGGGTTCCTCCCCGCCTTCATGCACTCGTAGCCCTCGGGGCACTTCCTGCCATGGGAGGAGGTAGTGGGGGTGAGCCCCCAGCATGGCCCCACAGCAAACCCCATCCCTGGGAGTGGGGGGCAGTGGGGGTGAGCCCCCAGCACAGCCCCACAGCCAAACCCCATCCCTGGAGAGTGGGGGTGAGCCCCCAGCATGGCCCCACAGCAAACCCCATCCCTGGGAGTGGGGGGCAGTGGGGGTGAACCCCTGGCATGGCCCCACAGCCAAACCCCATCCCTGGGGAGTCGGGGGCAGTGAACCCCTGGCACGGCCCCACAGCCAAACCCCATCCCTGGGGAGAGGGGGGCAGTGGGGGTGAGCCCCTGGCATGGTCCTGCAGCCAGACCCCATCCCTGGGGAGTGGGGAGCAGTGGGGTGAGCCCCCAGCATGGCCCCACAGTCAAACCCCATCCCTGGGGAGAGTGGGGGGCAATGGGGGTGAACCCCTGGCATGGCCCCACAGCCAAACCCCATCCCTGGGGAGTGGGGGGCAGTGGGGGTGAGCCCCCAGCACGGCCCCGCAGCCAAACCCCATCCCTGGGGAGTGGGGGCAGTGGGGGGCAGTGGGGGTGAGCCCCTGGCATGGCCCTACAGCCAAACCCCATCCCTGGGGCAGTGGGGGACCCTCCCCTCCAGGGTGAGAGGGGGGTGCCTGGATTGGCACCAGGGGGCTCCTGTCTGATACACCCAAAGGTGACACAGGTGGGATGATCAGACCGAGACCCCTCAGGCTGATGAATTTGGGATGCCTGAACTGATTCCACCCAAAATTGATACAAATGGGATGCCTGGATCAATAAACTCAAGCTGATACCCTCAGGGTGCTCCAGCTGATAGCCCCAAAGCTGATGCCGTTGGGATGTCCCAACTAATACCCTTTGGATACCTGGATCAATATCCTATAAGCTGATATAGTTGGGATGCCTGGATCAATACCCACCCAAGCTGATACCATTGGCATGTTCAGACTGATACCCTCCAAGCTGATATCATTGGGATGCACCAATTCTTCCCCTCAAGATGATACGGCTGGAATGCCTGGACTGATACACCCCAAACCTGATAAGGCTGGATGCCTGGATCAATACTCCCTCAGGCTGATATCCTCGGGATGCTCTGACTGAACCTCCCCAAGATGGTAGAGTTGGAATTCCTGGACTGATACCACCCAAAGCTGGCTGAGTTGGAATTCTTGGACTGATAACACCTAAAATTGGCAGAGTTGGAATTCTCGGACTGATACCCCCCAAAGTTGGCAGAGTTGGAATTCCTGGACTGATACCACCCGAAGCTGGCACAGTTGGGCTGCCTGGACCGATACCCCCTCAAGCTGATACCCTTGGGATGCTCCCCAAGTTGGTCTGTTGGGATTCCCAGACTGCTCCCCTGCCGAGCCACATTCCCAGCCCCATCCCTGCCCCATCCCAAACCTCAGTGGCCCCACAGGCTGTGCCAGCTCCCTGTCCCCTCGCAGGGACCCAGAGCTGGGGGATCTCCCTCACCCGGCATCGCTGCTGTTCCCGCAGAGCAGGGCATCAAGGGCTCCCTCCAGGAAGTAGAAATTGGCTTTGCAGGTGGGGAAAGAGCGAGGCAGAAAAGATCAATAAATATATAAATAAATGAATAAGCACAAACATTGATTTTTGAAATTCTTGGGTCTAACTTGCTGTCGGGGAAATTCCTTGAGTCCCAGGGGAATTYGCTGAATCCCATTGTTGGGCGCTGGGTTATCTCCTCCCTGCTGGCTTTGCTGTTTGTCTTGGCTCTGTCTCAGGGAGATCCTGGGGTTGTTCCACTGATCCAACCAGGTCCCTCCCAAGCCTGGGAACAGCTCTGGAGCTGACCAGGGCCAAGTCCCCTGGAAAGTGGGTTAATGGGTGGCCAAAGGATCAAGGGTGGCCAAAGGATTGAGGCTGGCCAGTTTTCCTGGGAAAAGCAGGAAATTCCCAGGGAACACTGCAGGAATCCCAGAAAATCCTGGGGAAGCTGCTACTGCTCCATGGCTGCACCTTCTACTGCTCCCATCCCTAATGGGCACAGCCCAGGGGTCCTTAAAGCTCCTTCTCACAGCTCCAGCACAGATCCAGAGCCCCAGGAGCTGCCAAGCAGAGCCACCACAAGTCACTTG